CTACTGAAAATTTTGATGAAATGTACAAAGGTTTCACTGCGACAACGACGATATGTAAATTAACCTTGGTATCACTTACTTGAATTCTAAATCTATGAAGTTTCGTAATCCATTGATTCTGCAGAACTATCACTGGAATCGTCTTTATCGTCGAAACTTAAAGGTATGACTAAAGGTTTAAGTACCGTTTCGATCATACCGTCCAAGCGCCACATATAATTTTCTTCCTTAATTACATGGGAAATAGCATTCTGCTAATCTTTTATACGTTCTATACCGGTTTTTAATAAACTTTAAACGTCGGCTATTTTAAAAGTTTTATTTTCTCGAGCTACAAACCCTTTTACTTGCGCCCAAATTAGTTCAATAGGATTGAAATCGCAGTGATAAGGAAGAAGTCTTAATACCGTAATACCACGATCACGAGCCATTGTGTCGACAACATATTGAATATATTTATGGCGGTGTTCCTTTATTAGGTCCATTAATTCCACTTTAAGCATCTCCTCAGTAAATGTTATCGCTTTATCCCGCAATCAGGTTTGCATATCCTCTTTCCTACTGGACATTATCGGAATGCGTTCAACTCGTCGACTGTGATAAGATGCGTTATCTAGTACAATAACTGAATTTCGTTCTACACGCTGTAATGCTTCAGTAAACCATTTTTCAAAGCATTCCGCATTCATGTCCTCGTGGTAGTCTCCTGTTTTTTTCGATATAAACACAAGAGCGCTATTTTCCAAAAATCCACTGTCACTTCCGATATGGGTAACAATTAGGCGCTGTCCTTTACCTGATGGTGCTTTCAAACCTGTAGATAATCCCTCTATAAAAGCTTGGCGATGACTAGTTACAGAAGTATCTTGCCATATCTTAGATACCGTGTGTCCAGCATTCACTCACGTTTCATCGAGATAGTATATCTTTTTTTAGCGGCTGTAAACTCTTTAATATTTCGTAAATAACGCCGTCGTCAGGACACTATATCTGACCTATCAATTAAAATTGATTTCCTCCTACACCGTTTGACAAAACGAAATTTTAGGCCCCATAAAATTTTTCGTAAAGTTTCACGGCTCAATAATAAAATTTCTTAATTTTCTCTTAATTTCGTAAGAACAACTTTAAGTGTTGGGGCTTTGTTTTCGGAAAAAAAAAGAATGTACAGTTCTTCGAATGATTTGTTTTTGGTTATCGTCCAATTTCAACAATTTTCTACCACGGGTATGCGTTTTAGGGGCTTCTAAGGAGCCTTTTTTTGTCTTTTCGCGTACAATACGTTCAATTGTTGAAACAGATACTCCAGTTAAAAAAGAACTGCGGTTTACAGCTTCATTTGTAGGAAGTTTCAGCCCATCATACACTTTCCATATAATGTTCTTTTCATCCTTTGATAAGGGCTTTCGCCGACGTAATTGGGTTTCACTTGGATCCGCCTCTGAATCCATTACTATTGTAACAATATAATTCTACTATTAAATAGTTTTTAATAAATTTATAAAGACACCAATATTTTACTATTTAATAAACTTTTAAAGTACCTACACAATAAATATAACTCCTCGAATATGCACTACCACTACCAAATTGTAAGGCACAAATATGAACACTTACTCGTATATTAGAAAAGAGCATTTATACAAAAAAGTGTTTATAAAATATAAAATAATTATCGTAAATAGTTAAAGCGATACAAATCTAACTTCGTCGAAAGTTAGTTTTCAACTGTCTTTGTGCCTGTGCTGACAATATTCAATCTGTAACCCGTCTGTCGTTTATTTACTTGAAACACATTTTAAAACCATTACAGATAACGAAGTCATTAGGGAATAAATATATTCATTTCTTGAAAATTATCAAAAACGTATATTTAACGCATCATCTTTGTTTAAATAAAGATGTTGACAAACAAATTTAATAAAGTTTACCAACAAATACCTAATAAATAATAAATAATTATTTGGTATTTGATACGCGGCCTATGCTGACTCTGACGGAATTTTCATTCATAGACAACAGAGTTGATCATGCATATGACTCACCTTCTCCAATATTTTATCCGAGTATAATCATTCATCAGCCTAAAATATCTTCTTGTTAGACTTTTTCGGTACCCTGTATGTATAGCATCAGAAAAGCAATAATAATGAAATACAGTCCCATTCATCATCCTACAATTTCATAAAAAGAAAATACCTTGGTGTCCGACTTTTTCGTTACCCTGTATACACTTTTCCGAGCATTCACAATGAGTATTGTCTTTTCCACTCATTTTACTTATATTTAAAATAACTTGTTATATGTTATTAACGTTAGTTTTAGTACGGACGATAAAAACGTAATTTATTAGCTTTATTATCAAATAAATTATTTTAAACGAAACACTTGCTAACTTAAAACACCATTTAATTACATGAATGAATGTCAAGGTCAAATTATTAAATATATTATATTTAATACACGGTTTTAAGAACGCTTGTTAAATCTCTCAATAGCCAAATGATTTCACAAATTTATTAGATTGACAGTCGGTTGTAAGAACACTCTTTAAAATTTACCAGAATGATAAACGTTGACACATGTTTAGATTATGAAGACTAGAGATAAGGAGGCGAATCGGCATGCTCAAAATACGGTCCCAAAAATCATACGTCAATTGAGCTTTTATAATTAACCGCATGGGCGCTGGTACGGTTTACGTAGTTCAAAATACATGGCTTCTTATGGGAATTATACATAATTTTGTCAAAATAATAAAAATAAACTTGTTTATAGCTAAATAAAGCACAGAACATACTGTTGTGTATATTTCTAAATAAGTCTTACATATTTTAATTGATACATTATTTACTATTTAAGTAAAATGCAAATTATTGATGATAATTGTTGTTTGATGGGTAGGGCTAATTATTTTTTAATTAAAGCTAAATAGAGCTGAGGGCACACTAAGACACGGTTTAAATGAAAATATTTAGTTAGGGATTTTACAAAATTTTATGAAAATAATAGAAATCTTGTTTATTGCTAACTAAAGTACAGAAAATACTGTTGATTTTAATTATTGTAAATATGTCTTTGTTTTAATTGCTAACTAAAGTACAGGAAATAATGTTGGTATTATAAATGAGTCTTTACGTTAAACATTATTTACTATTCATTATTTAATTTTGTATAAATAAAATGAAAATGAGGTATGACCAAATTTGAAAAGGTTTGTTAAATGGTGAAATTTGGTAAGTACAGTTTTGTGGTAATTTTGTATTCGACAACTACAATTTCATCATCCTGGTGAATAGTTTCTTCAGCAATAGGTTCTAGTATTTTCTTCCTTTTTTTTATTCTAACAAATTCAGTTCGGTTCAATGGTGGTTTACGTCTTTTCCTAATACTGGACAAGTATGAAGGGAGATTCGGGAATATACATGGTATTGCTTCGTTCTTTAATCTCGGCCTTTCCCTTTTTATTTTGTTAACAGTACCATTAGTTAAAATAGTCTCATCAAATTTTAAAATATCATCTTCTAAAAAGTGTAGCTCGCAAACAGAATCATAACTAGACAGTACCTTATCAGCCCTAGGAATCACATGCTGCCATTGTTCTAAACGTTTAGGATCCTATAAAAAATATTTGCAATGACTAAATTGGAGTTCAATAAAGAAAAATAACAGTAGTAACTCTTTATCTAACATCAAAAAACATAAAAAAAGCAAATTTTCTTTTCTAGTAAGTTAAATTTAATGTGTAATTATTGTTGTTTGTAAGTCAGGATTTATGACTTTATTATTTTTTATAACAGAATTTTGTAATTAAATAAACTACACTTCGTAAGATACGGGTTGTGACTATTTTACAATAAATATATATTATTTAGAAATAAATACATTATTTTACTTACACTAGGAGCTTTAAAAAGACTTGGATTTTTATCTCCTTGTGTTTTCTTTAATTTTATATCGGATTTATATCCCGTTTTTCAACCCGGAACGAAGCAAATCCTGCATTGCCCTTTTTTGTTACTCATTGTTACTTGTAGTCAGGTTCTTTAATTCAGCTTATTTTTATTCTTTTCACTAAATTTTACAAAAATCACTTTAGTTCCCATTGACTTGCATAGAAAATAGACGTCGTTATTTTGCCACCCGCCAACTACAGTAGTTTTTTGGAACTCCATAAAAATAGGGACGGAAATTTGACATTTGACCAAGGCCGATTCGCCTCCTTATCTCTAGTCTTCATAGTTTAGATAGTGAGGAATTTAACGTTCATGTCATTTCGATAGATCACATTATCAAGAACCCCGTCAAATTTTTTCATACTCATATATTTTAATGATAAATTAGATAATGACATTATTTTGTCTCACTTTCATTTTTGATTTTGTCCTGTGTTAACTCATTCATCATCCATCGTTGCCTCCGTTTGGATGCTGAAACTGTTGTTTGAACAACGAAAGAAGAGTCTTGATCCCTATCAATTCTGCTCCCGCAATTTACAATTATAAAAGTTAATGGTATGTTTGATTCTTGTTGAAAATACTTTACAAATGTATTAATTACAAATCATCATACGTATTGAATGTAGTTTTATCTTATTCCACCTCGTTTAAAGGGTTAAAAACTTTATAAATTATTGCAAGATCCCTTTATACCTAAAATATTCAAATAAAACTATCATCAACTGTTGAAAACATAAAACAGAAGCTCACAGAAGTCAGTTTTTGTGCTAAAATTCACAAATTTGTAGAGATTGCAATATAATGAGTCACATAACAATGTAAACAAACCTTCTGTGTTAATCGTTGGTCATTAAAAGGTTAAAAACTCTGCCTCCGCACCACAGTAAATCAACGTCTTCCTTTTATTGTGCCATGATCAGGCTCGTAATTTTATTGTTCGATATGGAATTAGAACAGGATTATTGGTGCGTCAAGTTCTTCAGTTATCGTATATTATCACTTAATTAAAAAACTAATAATTTAATTTTTCTTTTGTTACAGAACCTTCCATAACCCGCTTTTCCGGTCGACGCAAATCGGTGTTCGCCGAAACGTACGATCCCGAAGAAGATGACGACGAGGACGGCAACAAAATCGTCTATCCGAAATCGGACGAGCAACGCCAAAGACTGTCGTCCGCCGTCGGCAATATTTTGCTCTTCAGATCGCTGGACAGCGAACAAATGAACGAAGTATTGGACGCCATGTTCGAGAGGATCGTCAAGAAGGACGAATTGGTCATACGGCAAGGAGACGACGGGGATAATTTTTACGTTATTCAAAAGTAAGAAAAATGTGTTTATAATATTGGTTTGGTTCTTTCACGAACCAGGTCAGAATCATTCAATTACGCTCAATAGGTTGTTATAATCTCGCAACTATATTTGAGAACTAGAATCGACCGAGACCGATCTTAGTTTATACGCTTCTTCTGCTTCTAATAGTTTTTTTTTTTTTTTCTATTAAAAGTGGTAACAAAATCTTCGTCTAAGACGTCTAATAGTGCCGGGTTTCTACCGACTAAAAAAACTAACACTCTTTTTCACAGGAATGTCTCCTCGGAATCACCAGTCGGCATAACTTCGAAGAGACGTGATGTAAAGATGGTCGTAGGTACTCCTCAACAAGTTGTTAGGGTATGCTCATATATTCCTTCTTCTAAAATCTCTCTCCTTCTATCCGAGTATCGTTTTCATCATGTTACCTATCTGTTGTCATTGCTCTATTTTACTGGTCATGACGTCTAAAATGTTTTCTTAGAGCCTAATTCCAATACGTTCTTCTAGCTCTAGCCTGATCTCTCTCCATTCTCCACACTGAAACAGGGTATGCACTACTGTATCCACATTCGGACAGTACATGCAATCTTGTTGCTTAGTCGCACCTAATCTATTCAGGTATTCCATAAACCAGACGTGACCAGTTAGACATTGAGTAATATGAAATGTGACGTTTCCTAGTTTCATTTTATTCCATTTTTCAATATTAGGTACGAGTGTGTACGTCCATCTTCCTTTTTCACATGTTTCCCATTTTCTCTGCCACGTTTCTTAAGTTTTTATTCTAGCATTTTTTTTTCAGCTATGCTCTTACCTTGAACTTCAATCTTCAATCAGCAAATCTATGAATATAATTCCGAAGATAACCAGGCTCCTTTTCGTAGATATTGTTTTATATCCTCTGCAGATTCAGATCGCCATCGTTCTTTGTAATTGTGCTAGCTATTTTCGGTTCATTTTTCTTTACAAAGCATTTATCCAAATCTCTGATGCATACATTAGGATTGAATGGACTACTGGTCCCAATAGTCGTCTCTTTGTTTCCGTAGCTTCATCTCTATTAGGCATTAGTCTTATTAACGAGGCCATAACCTTCTTTGCTTTAGCCACTGCGTTCTCTAAGTGTTTCTTATATGACAAGCTTCTATTCAATGTGACCCTTAGGTACTTTGTACTATTTTTTTGGTATGATAGGGACTTCTTCAATTGTAATAGTAACCTACTAGTTATTGACCGTATTCAGTACAAACCTCCTTTAATTATCCGTAGAAATTAACTGTCTAGTAGTTGTAGTAGTAGTAGTAGTAGTAGTAGTAGTAGTAGTAAGCAGATCTGGAATTATTATAGATCATTTAATACATTTTTAACTAATAAACTATCAGTAGTAAACAGAAAATTTAACGAACACCTATTGAAGGAAAAATAGTCCTCCTCCATTAAGCAATACAATAAACTTATGTCTGTTTGTCCGAAATACTCGGTATATCAATATAACTATGTAAGTGTCATTTTTAAATCTTCCATCATTATTTATCCGTTTTTTGTTAAAATACCATCCTTAAACATTACCGTATTAAATTCGTACAAGTTTTAAATCATACAGGTTTTAAGACTTGCTTATTCGCTCCGTGCGAGACAGCAGCAATTCATTTATGTACTAATGGACTATTTTTGCCTATACTGACAATACAATTTTTAATAGAATTCGTAATTAAAAAGTATATATGTTAGTTTTAATAAAAGTATATGGATTTGTAACACAAGTTAAAGATTAATTTATTATTATTATTATATATTTTTATCGCTTAAACTAAAAAAAATTAGGTATATTTAATAAAAATCAATAATAAAATAAAGGCAGGCAACAGTATTTACGGGAAAATGTATGAGAAGTTGTCTAAGTCTAATAAGTTGTCTTTGAAGAATTAACCTATTCTGTCAAAATAAAAAATACCTTTAAATAAAAGCGTGAAGTTAAAATGTATAAACAAAAGGATTGTTATTTATATTTTCATTTTTGTTCGAAAGAAAACATAGAATGATTAAAACTGGTAAGTAACAAAATTGCATTCCAGCCACATACAATAATTAAAGGCAGAAATCTAGTTCTTGCTGAACATTTAAGATTAAAGGGATGTTGAAGAACATCATAAAATGATACTTATTGTTTACTTAAAACCTTTCAAGTTTCTGATGTCTACTATTTCCAGTATTACTGTTATTATTACAAAAACAAAGGTAATTTTTCTTCTTATTGTACACATATCCATTTATTTTTTTGATTTAGGGCCGAATTATTAATCTCCTGATAAAGTTAATGTTAGTAATCGGAAGGATAAATTTTAACCTCATATTACGCGTTATCAACATAATTTTAACCCACATTTCTAGGTCTTCTAATGAATATATTTTAAAAATCTTCGATATCCTCTATATCAGTGGTCACCAACCTCTCAATGTGTTGAGCTACTTTGTTAATTTTGGAATAAACAGCGAGCTACCTACACGGAAGCCACGTAACGCAACGTAAATGAAATAATCCACAGTTAATTTATCATTATATGTATTTATTTTACTATTTAACTGGTAATACTTAATACATAGGTACTAATAATAAACTAATAACAAAATAACTAATATTACTAGTACGTACTTGTTCATAGCTACATTCCTACCTACCAAACGAAGGTGTTTGAAAAATAAACACAAACTTTTATCCAGCCACAACGGCATGTCACGTAAGATTTAAAAATAGTTAATAATAACAACAAAAAAGTAACGCACTATCATGAACATAAACATTGAAAAATAAAAAAGCACGTTCAATGAGAAGGCTGACACTCAGACTCATCGATAATTTTTTTAATGTTTGCAGTATAATTTGATACAGCCATTCGAATACAATTATCCAAATGTTCATCTGTAAGTCGATTGCGATATTTGTTCTTAATAAACTTCATATTGGAAAAAGAAGATTCACACAAATAGGTTGAACTGAATAATGCTTTCACTTTCAAGGCAACACGGCATAGAACTGAATATTTGTCTTTACTTACAATAGGCTAGATACATTTGATACTTGAGACTAACGATTTTAAGGCTAAATCATTTTGAAACTCAATTACTTCCATTTCTGTTGCAGCGATGTCTTCGCCAAAGTTCTGCATAACACAAGTTGCAAACTGTTGGATATCAATTTCCATAAAAGGTGAAACAACAAACTGCGCTACTAAAGCCATTTCGTTGAAATCCTTAAAACGATTTTTGAAGTTATTCTTCAGGGTAGAAACTATTTCTACATGATATTTGCTGTCATAGGGTTCTAATGGATTTTGAGATATTTTTTCTGAAAGAATAGGAAAATGCTTGGCATCGCTGTTAATTAGGTTTTGTTCCCAAAACTCCAGCTTTTTGATAAATGCTTTTATATCAGAAATCATTTCCGCTAGTTCTTTGTTTCTCCCCTGAAGCTGCAAATTAAGTTCGTTTAATTTCTCTGTAATGTCCACGAGAAAACCAAAATCTCTAAGCCAGACTGAATTTTCTAGTTCCGGAGTCGGTTCATCGCGTTGTTTGAAAAATTGCACTATGCCAGATAGGACATCATTAAAACGTTTCAGCACCGGTCCTCTACTTAACCATCGGACTTCAGAGTGAAGGAGTAGGTCCCCGTATTGACAGTCAACTTCATCGGCCAAGGTTTTGAATAATCTTCTTTGTAACGCTTGAGCTCTTATCTTGTTCTCAATTTTTACCACCAGTTTCATAACGTTGTTTAGTTTCAGGAAATTTCCACATAATGCTTGCTGATGGATAATGCAGTGGTAACAGAGAAATTGCGGAAAAGTTTCATCTTTACGACATAACGCCACCAGACCCTTATCACAACCCCCCATAGCTGGAGCGCCATCGGTTGTCAAGCCTACCATTTTCGATATTGGAATTTTCTCGGAAGAAATAATATTTTTTAAATGAAAAAAAAAAAAAAAAAAAACTCCTGTCCAGTAGTGTGTCCTTTCAGTGGAATAAACTTCAAAAGATTTTCTTTAATCGTAAAATCACTAAGAACCATCCTGACGAAAACGGCCATCTGGGCAGTGTCAACGACATCTGTTGATTCATCCAGTTGAAGTGAAAAATAAACACAGTTATCTAAGTCAGTTCTTAACTGTAAAAAAATATCATTGCTCATTACTCCTACACGTCTCATCACTGTATTAGCAGAAAGTTGCATAGATTTTATAGCTGAAACTATCTCGTCTTTATTTCTAAAGTTGGCAAATAACGAATCAGCAGCTTCTAAAAACGCCTGTTTTATCATTTCCCCGTCTTCATAAGGTTTCTTTTTTTGTGCAATTATCTGGGACACACGATACGATGCTTCAGTTGCAGCCTTATTTTTGTCGACTGTTCTTAAAAATATTGATTGTTGTCCAATTAACTGCTTTTTTAACTGTTTCAGTTTCTCCTTTCTGGCGGCAGAATGTAGTGGGAATGATTTTTTAAAATTAGAATGTACAGTTTTATAATGTCTCTCAATATTTCCTTTTTTAGAAACGGAGACCGAAGTATTACATAACAAACACACATTTTTATTTTTAATTCTGTAAAAAAAAGTACTGTTCTTCCCATTCCGAATGAAAGTGGTATGCCTTTACCTTCTTACAACTGCTTGCCATAATATTATTTTTTGTTGTTCTCTACTAACCCAACCGCTGAACGTTGGTTACGCGTTCAGTTTTAAACTAAGCGCAATGTCGCCGCGCCGTGCGTATTTATCCCGTTCAAAGCAATCCTGATCGTTCTCGAACACTAACGCGCTGGTCCGGCTGGTCGGTTCTAGCCGATTCTAGCTTGATGGCGTCAGCAGCAGATCGCTCACCGCAACGTTGCCGCTGTTTATGTTTAATATTATGACAATTAAGATTTTTTTGTGGAATTTTCGGAAGCTTCTCTGATTTTTGCAGTTTGTATTTTTTAAATTAAAATCGTTGTGAGAGCTACC